ACTGTCTCTTCATTCACTCATCAGTCATTTGTTCTATTCAAGAAGTATTTATTAAGACCACAGGTGTCCGGCAGCTCGCCAACTCCTGACGATACAGACCACAGCCAAGTCCATGAGCATTTGACTCCCTGGAGGCTGGATCCCGGTGCCAGACACAGAGAAAAGATAAAAAAAAAAAAAAGTCTTAAAGAAACACAAAATATATCAGATGTTGAAAAGTGAAGGAAAAAAAAATATTAGCCGAATTAAAGGACAGAGAGTGGCAGGGAGAGAAGGTGACCTGTGCAGGTGGGGGAAGGCCCCCCGAGGGTGGGAGGATCCCGGACCTGTCTCGGCTGGAGAGTTTGAGGCCACACAGATGGATGGCCTCCTAGCAACCCTGAGGAAAGGGGGAGAAAGAGTGAGGGGACCAGGGCTCAGAAGACTGTGCAGCCATAACTGCCAGCTCCCAGGCCTGAATTCTAGGACAAACTAGCGCTAGTCACGTGCTTTAAAAGCTTTTCAAACTTGCTGTTTAACTGAGAGGTCTTTCTCAAATGAAGTTTTATGTGGAGTCTCAATTTGTGAAATGAATAAAATTCCTCTCTAGAGGAAGCAGTTAGAAAGAAGTTTTCCCAGGTTTGGACCTTAGCCCCAGATCTTTTTACCCCAGGCCTTGCCGTTGGGAACCACTGCAGATCCCAGTTTCCCTGCCTGCCCTTCTCGACTGTACACCTGTCCCTCCAAGCCTGGTGAAAGGAAAAGCAGGTGAAAGGTACTGCATAGAAAACAGGGAGACAGGAACTGAGGCAAGACCCATCTCTCCACTTCCTTGTTGGTTTCTGCAAAACCAACCTTATGCTTCTTTCTGGATCCAAGTCAAGTTTTGAGGGTGAGGGGCCTTAAATATCTATTGCGCCACCACAAATCATCCCAAGACTTAGTGATTCAAACCAGGGTGTACCAGTGCGTTTGTTGGAGGGGAATTGCTGGGTCCAGCCCACACTCTACAAGAGGAGATTTCTCAATGGCATGAATCCCAGGAGCTGGGGACGTCTTAGAGGCTGCCTGTCACAGGCAGAAAAGCACAAAAGCACGTGATGTCAATTCGTTTAAGCCTTAATGTGCTGAATCTATGCAACATGACTTGAGTCTTTTTAGTATGTTACTCTCCTTTCTTCACAATAAACTGGACTTGGGTTTGCCAATTGCTTCTAATTTGGTGTCCACGTTTTGTACCCAACTATTTTCTTCTAAGGTTAAGACATGAAATTTCTTTTGGAGTCCACATTTTGTACCCAACTATTTTTCTTCTAAGGTTAAGACATGAGATTTCTTTTTGAAAAGAATTCTGTTCCAGATTCTCTTGCTGACACGATTTGGCTTAATTCTATGTGAATACAAATAGAAACAACTAGAGACTCTATGAAAATCTCCTGGGCACACCTTCTCAGCCAGTAAAATAAAGCCTCTGCACGTGGCCCTGCAGAGTACTCACGAGCTAGTCGGATGATCAAGAAAAACAAATACCTGGTCCCTTTCCTGAGCTTAGTCATCAGGATTAATTAGTCTCCCTCAGTCTACCCAGGAAATAACAAGGTGGATGACAGGGATGGGGTTTGCATTTGGTGACATTCTCCACTGAACTGGGAGTTCCCGAGAGCCACTGGGCCCTGACAGCATCCAGCCTAGAGGAGGGATGCAGCATGGCTCTGGGGAAACCCAAGAAAGTGCTACTAAAGTTTCCCTATTTTAACGGTTTCTAGAGAACTGATTAATAATTTAGGGAAGAATTTGAGGATCTTTACACTAGATAATGTTTCTGAAGGGTCATGAACATCAGATATTGACCTCTGTCCAGATGCACCTGTCCTGCCTGGGCCTTTCCCTGACCCCTCCTTTCTTTGTTTTGGAGAATGATGACATTAGAACCTGAATTCCAACTCCTTGTTTGTGATCTCCTTGGTAGATCTGCTCCTTTATCTGGGTTATGTCCCATATGTTCAGGATGCACACGTTATTATAGTTCTGTTTGGTTTTCTGCCTTGTGTCATAAGAAGTCCAAGCTAAAAACCCATGAAGGGTGGAGAATATCACTACCTACATACCACTGAGCACTTCATATATGCCCGAACTCCAAATTATCTTTAAGGTATGTTTTTAGGGCTGTGCACACGTTACCCTAAATATGATGCTTCAACATGCTGAGCACATTGAATTGAGGACGGGGGAAGGGTCAATTTCTAACCTTGCCTTGTTTCTCTCCACCCAGCCCCCAAGCACAGAGAGGGGCTCTCTCTGAAGATCTAAAAGGAAGTTTTAAAAAATCTATACATACATATATGCAATTGTGTTGGAGTCTCTCTGTAAGATCTCGTTAGTCAGGGAAGATTAGCTCAGAGAAGAGAAGACTTCCAGGTCTCCATCTGTCTCCACTAAGTACCTCCATTAAGTATCTTCTGGGGAGGTCTGCTCACAGACCTTTTCCATACAAGACAACCTTTGTTCTTAGTGCAGTTTTGCCCCTCACCTTCCCTTCCAGTTCTTCTAGAGCTGAGGACCTTCATCCTAGCTACTGTCTATTCTGCAGGTTCATTAATTTCTCCTAAAAGTCACTTACTACCCTCTGGAATTGCCGGTCACTCCCCCCACCCCATTTCCCTCTGGCCTATGAAGAGGGTATTTAAGCTTCAACTATCTGGCCCTTCTTTGAGTTTTATGTTTTGGCCCCTATGTACAAGTGCGTGTCAAGTAAATCTGGATGCTTTTTCTTCTGTTAATAAATTGTCAGTTCATTTCAGGGAACCTTCAGATATCAGAGGAGAAGTTCCTCTTTCCTTTAAGACATCAGCAGTCCCTAGCCAGGCTCCCTGTTTTTCCAGATGAACCTTTATATGTTCTCTTTGCAACATCTCTCTCTCCTTCATAATAGCCTACTCACGACCTCATGGCTGTTTGAGGGCTGGTTTTATTTCAGGGCACTGACTATTTTATTGTGGAGCTGAACTGCAGGGGTTAACCTTCTGACCCCATCACTTTATGCCTAGGTGACAAGGCAACTTGGAGCTCACTCTGTGCAGCAGCTTTCTCACTGCATAAAGGGAACAAGGATATGATTTACTCTGTGGAATTGATTGTTTGTTTGTTGGGTCTTTTGCTTTAGCTCTGATCAGAAACTTGAAGTTGGGGATGGCGGGTGCATATTGCCTCACATGCACCACAGTGTGATACAAAGAGCCCACTCAGTAGACATGTGTCGACTAAGTGAATAAACAACTCAACCTGGAAGATTTCATTCATGCATTCTGTTTTGGTAGCAAATCCAGGAAATAAAGTAGAAAGCATCGATATGGATGGTGGTGATGAAGGTCAATTCTGGAACCCTTGGCCTTTGACCTCAATTGCTATTTAGATTAATACAAGGCAAAATGAATAAATTAAACCCTGTAGACTAGGGATACCATTTTACAGAGTTGAGAATGTGTGTTAAATGTTGTGTTGTAGATAAATAAACACTTTGTTTCCTCGAGAATGAAAACCAGTAGAATTCACTTTGATATCTCACTTGATATCAATACACGATGTCCCCAGGGTCTAATAGTAAAACCTGATGAAGCGTTAAAGGCCATCACTGCACAATATTCAGAGTGGCCTTGCCCAGAACGTGCTTTGATGGCTTTCTTACACTTCTGGCTTTCCGGAATAAGGACTGAAACGGCCCTATCTATTAAGATCACATAAAAAATGATGAGGTGATTTTTTAAAAAAAAATATTTGGTCATTGCATAATCTTAAAAAGAAATAACTCTCAGATGTAAGGGCTGGGAGAAAATCAGTCAGTATACTAATCCCATTGTACACAATTCAAAATGAGTGATTAAAAATTTACCAGACTCTCCAGGGGCCTGCCAAGGGATTGTGTTCTAACTAGAACTTTCCCTGGCTGCCTCTCCTTTGCACGCCACCTAGTGAGCTGCCCCTACCTCGGCACCCAGCACTGTGCTGTGGAGAAGGAGAGCAGAGGCAGGGGAGACCTGGCTCTCCTGCAGTGTGATGTTGGGGGACTTGGGAAGGCTTCTCTGAAAATAATTCTGATTTTCCTCTACCACCTTGATGATCTTTAACATTCCTTTAAAAAGACAAAGTCTTCTTATCCATGATTGGAATGAAGATTTTAAACACAAATTCTCTTCTAGGCTTCCAGTTAAAACAAAGTAAGGCTACCCATGTGGCCATTTTCTGGGTTGATTTGCTAAGAGGCCCAAGAATGGAGAAACATTTCAGTCACACAAACAGATTAGTCAATATCAAAGAGGAAAGTCAACATCTTGATTTTGGCCAATGCCATCTCCAATTAAACTGAAGACAAAGCTGTACATTTTCTTTGAAAACACACACTTTGTTGGAACGGATCTTCTTTCCTTGGAGTTTCCTAAGAATTTTTTTTTCGCTCTATTATTTTTAATGTACATGTTGTAAAATAAAACACAACATTTTTCTGGCTCTTCAAACAAAATGTAGCTATTTTAGAATCCTACTGCTTTTGGAAGAGGTGAAAGATGTTTAAATACAATCACATATTTTCGTTGAATTATCAAAACCAACATGAAGAAATGATGTCCTTTGTGTTTATTTGCTCAATTAATGGATAAATGAATGGATTAATAAGTAAAAGAAAGATGAAGAAAGAATCGTATGTACAGTTTTTGGAATGGACACAAGGTTTAGAGACGGTGGTAGAGATCAAAGGGCACCAGTCAGCACAGAGGGCTTGGCAGACAAGCACTAAATGTAAACATTTTCTGTTTTACATTTTTCTTTTGACCAGTGGTATTTACACTGGCAAATGGAATTTGACTTGTGCTGATACAAAATGAGAAGAAAGGGAAGAACCTCAAATGAAAGTGATTTTGGCAGCTGCAGGGGCCAATCTTTTCGGCCCTCTTTACCTGGGGCTCATAGCTATGAGCTGTGGGAACATTGTGTGCTTGGTCTCATGGATGCTTTACCAAATCTCTTACCTTAGTCCAAGGTAAGTGGGAGGAGGCCTGATTTTGAGAAGTCCAACAGACCAGGTTTGGCCACTCACCCCTAAAATAAAAAAAAATAATAATAACAAGGGTGAAATATGAAAGGAATATATTCAGTAGAGCCAGACCAGGAAGGACAGGAGAAACCAGGCATCCACAGCCTTGAGGATAAAGAAGGGAAGGAACCAGAGTGGGAGGCAAAATCCTGTCTTGGGCAAGCTCTGCTCTGGCTGCTCATTATCTCAGAATCGGCCTTGTGGAGCCTTGTGGTGATAAGAACGTCAGCTGCTGCCTGGGGGCAGCTTCAACTGTGTCCCAGGATGTTTATCCATTGGACCTCCCGCTCCCAGAACCCCAGATGACTGCAGGAAAAGAATGACGCACAAGAAAGGGTAGGTCAGAAGGCAAGATGGAGTTGGTTCCCGGGTTCAGGACATTCCTGGAGACGTCCAGGCGTCACGTCACTCTGTGGTCTGAAACCGGATGCTGTGAAAGCTAGGTGACAATCTGTTCCTTATCATGTCCCTTCAAGTCTTGAGAGTCTCTTAGGGATTCTTATCATGGTGTTTTCAGCCTTGAAGGAGGAGGCCATGATCAGCTTGAGATCAACACTCCCTATATGACTTCGCACAGAGTTGAGCAGGAATCTGACCCAAAGTGGAGGGCAGCAAAAGAGACAGATGCAGAATAAAGGCAGAAGCCAAGCTTTTACCCTGTTTTTAGCTACCCATGGGACATCTGCAGACCCAAGTGAACAGTCAGCACTTTTAGCAAAATCAACTTCTAAGTCCCATTACAAATATAAGTTCATCACGTTTAACACGTTCCACTCCTGGTGGATGCTGAGAACCGGGGCTGTGCATATGTGGGGATATGGGAAAGGGCCACAATGTCTTCAATTTTGCTACAAACTTTGAACTGGTCTTATAAAATAAACTGAAAATATTTAAAAATAGATACATCAAACATATGACACATAACAGTCCTCAATACAGAGTTGTGATTGCTGATATTACCAGTTTGCTTATCCCAGTTTGAACCTGAGTGATTTTTATTCTTTAACCTCAGCTGGTGTCTAGTGAGACACTAACTCCCTCAGTTCTTCTATGGTCTTCTATGTTTTTACCTAGAGGACCTTGAGACAGGTCCTGAAATGCTTTAGCAGAAGACTCAAGGACCGCCCCATGCACAGACCCCATCAATACCACAACTTAGATTATAATGATCCCTTCCACAAAGTAAGTGCAGCTCCCCCACCTTCCACATTCTGCCTATGATTCTGGGCATGGTGTAGATTCACAAAAACATAGATACATTCACATAATCCAGCCCAAGGTAAGTTGTCAACTCACTGTACTACAGTCTGCCCTCTTTGTCTTTGTGACTTTGATCACAGAGTTGAGTCTGTTGACTTTGATTGTTGTAGGGATCGCTAATGAACTTGAATAATACCTACATGTGATCACCACTAAACTTCTGCAATTATTATTCAATAATGCTTACTAACAACCTAAGAGGCAGAAATCATGTTGTTGACTGGAAGAGATAATAAATCAGATACAGGCTCAACATCTCATAGGCTTGTGAGAAATACAGACAGGCAAACAACTGAAGTGCAAAAAAAAATCTATGAAAGATATTCCCACAGACTCTATTATAACATCTTAGGGATGAGGTACTTAATTCTGCTTAGAGCTCAGAGAATCTTCTTTGAGTAACTGATACTTGAGTCATGGTGAAAGATGAACATGGGTTCTCCACTCTGGGAGAGGCAAGGAAAGCTTTGCAGAAATAGGGAATGAGAAGCCCATGCAAAGACACGGACCCCTGACAATGACTTTGTAGGAAGGATGTGCCCTAAGCTACACAATAGTGGGGTCCTGACATAAAACTGAGATAGGACCCTAAAACCAAATTGCAAAGGCACTACCTGTGAGAGATTTGGTTATTCCTTCAAAGGCAACTGCTCACAGGCAGAACTCAATGAAGGACCTTAATCTGCATTTTAGGAATATCATTCAGGTAAATTAAGGTGTGAGTGCTGGTGACAGGAAGACCTGGACGGAGTCAATCCAATAGTCCAAATAAGAGATCAGGGCATGGGTGGTGCAGAGAAGCTACCAGGTCAAAGAGATATGTTAGAAATAGGTCAAATTCAGGGACAGTTGAGATAAGTGAAATTGTACACCTGGATAATTCATAACAACCCAAGTTTTTGGCAAATGAATGATGTCATTGGCAAAAAAAGAAAGAACGAAATAAAAGAACAGTCCAGGTTTGTTGTGTAATGTGGCCCTATTCCATTTCTTTTAAAAGGCTCTATGTAAAGAGAGGTGCCAAAGCCATTGGTAGGAAAAGCTAATTTTGCTTTGTGTCCTATTCACATTAATTCTTGGGAACAACAGGAAACAATTATCAGCTAGAGGGATTGTATTAAGTAATAAAAGCTTTATGAGAATGATTTAGTGCACACAATAATTTATGATAACATTATAGTTTTGTGGTTCCATTGTTCAGTGCTCCATCTTTAACTGAAACAACAACAACAAAAAAAAATTATGGGGATAGAAAATAAAATGTTTGAGAAACTACCTGTATAATGTAATTGCATACTATTATACATTCTCACACGATTGTTTTGAGGTTCACTCTGTTAGGCTTTGGAAAAGGTCTTTTAGGGAATAACCTGTGTTTATGGAAGTATCTATCCATAAATAATTCTCCATACTAAGGAGAAAATATATATCAGCCCTGATAGCTCAGATACTATGGAAGTTGGGAGAGTTTGGGTTTCATTTTAATTTGATGTTAGAAGTATGTAAGCCAAAATTTTAAATATGGAAAGGGGCTAAGAGTTTGTCTGGTGCTGCCTTTTATTTTATATAGCAGTTAAATAACTTAAATAAGGCCAAAACTGGATAAAATCATGATCTCATACTGGGAAACTCTAAGAGTTAATATGGTAGAGCTGAAAGGGAAACTATCTCAAATAAACATATCTGTAGTTCAGTCCCAGCTCTGATACTACGTGTTCAGAACAAATCATTTAATCTGTCTCATAACTCAGTTTTCTTATCTTTAAGAAGGGATCATATTTTTTTGTATTACAAGAACATGAGAAGCAGATGCAACGATTTGCCAAAACTCTTCATGAAAATTATAAAACACCAAAAAAAGAAGAACACAACAGTTTATATTTGTAGGGTAAACCTTCAGTTATAACTTCTTTTATAGGCTAATGTTTACTGAGCTGTTGCTGTATGCCAGAAATTGCTTTAAATGCTATTTCATTTTCCTCTTGCATTAACCCTTAATGTAGGTGCTATTTTCTAGTTTTATGGGTAAAGAGGCCAATGGAGTTCAGAGATTAGCTAGCTTCCGCTGGGTAACATGGCGAGCAGGTAGAGGAACCTAGATTCAACACTGCATCTCAGTGGTGGTGACTGGAGTCTCCACTACCATGCAGCACTGTGGGAGTTGTGAAAAAGAGAACCATGTCCACACTACAGAGCTTGGCTGGAGAAGAATGAGGCTGAAAGATGGAAAGACAGCCGAATGCACTGGAGCCTGGACATCCATTCTACTCCAGGCTCAAAGGCAGCCCACCGAGGCGGGATTACATAAAAAGGGTTTTGCAATCCATGCTCAGAAGAAAGGCGGGGTGAAGACTGGAGGGTGCTCAGGAGGGATGATAAACTGGTCACTTGGAAGGGTCAACATTTGGTATCTCTTCAAATATTTATTCTTGAAGTATTTGTTCAGTTAAAGTCTGACCCCTGAAGCTGTGTTGAAAAGGGAGAAAGAAGATCATAGGTGGTGGCAAGGAACACTCTCTTGTCTCTTGTCCAGAAAAAAATTAAAAATGTGCTCCAAATCTGCACACTTGCTTTATTTATCACAAGGAAACAACTGACATTAGCGAGGGCAATTTTGTGTAAGTCTGTTTGAAGAATGTGTGTGTGTGTGTGTGTGCACGTACATACATATGGTGGGAGGGAAGGAGTGGAAGGGCTTCTCTCCCTATTCCTCACTCTCTAGAAGGGTAGAAGTTTAGATAAATCCATTTTACTTTACTGCTCCATTGGCAATCCGCCATCTCTCATATATTTGTACTCCACTTAAAACTCCATTGAAACTCCTGGGTTTCCACTTAATTCTGCTCTTATTAGGAAATTCAATTTTGATCCAAACTTGATAATAAGGAAGTTGTGAAGCTTTGAGAGCAGAACAGGGTAGATGGTAAATACTAAATGGTTTTAAAAGTGCAATGTTGGGCAGTTTAGAAAAATGGAAGCCAAAAGATCACAAATACAGAATAGTCAGAGCCAATACTTAGCAGGATTTAAATTGAAACGCACACACACACACACACACAAACATTGCTCCTTAAACTCGCGAATTTTAGACCTGATTCTTCCTCTTACATTACTCTTCATGTGATTTTAGGCAAAATTCTTAATTTAGTTTTATTATGTAAAACCTGGGTAATTTTATTTAGTGTCATTTCATATTGATAGTATGAATTATAAAAATGTAATATATGATATAATATGTAAATAGCAGGTACATACATTGTTCATTGTGTAGCAAGGCCTAGACACTTGGTAAATATTAAGCTTATTTATTCCTTTTAACAACAGTACCTATGACGTAGGTACTGTTATTATTTCATTATACAGATGAGGAAACTGACGTACAGAAAGTTAGAGTGTATAAGTCGTAGAGGAGAGAATTGGGATTGGAACTCTGGTCATCTGTTTCCAGAATGTGTATTATTTACCAGGCATGATATTTAGCCAATCTACAGAACTGCCATGAAGACTAAGTGGAACAAGTTACCCTTTCTGGAAGGAGATCAATTTTAATAACATTATTTATAACTTTCATTGGATCCCTTTGAAAGTCTGGTAAAACCACAAAGATTATATACCAGCAAAATACATAGATTTACACAATATACGTAAGTTTTAAAAAGTTGAAATAACATTTCTAAGATTTCACAGATCTCTGGAAGTCCTTTCATGGGTACTAGTTTTTAAAAGTCCTGACTCAGCTTGGCTGTGTCTGCTTACCTCAGGTCTTCCATCTGCAACGAGATGGTAGAAACGCAGTGGCCTGCTTCCCGCTCAGGTCTGTGAACTGAGAACCCTACATGTAATTTGGGGATGAGTTCTATACCACTTCCGATTGCATAACTTGTGTTTTTCAAACTTCCTGGTTCAATTTTGCTTTAAAAGTATATAATCATGGCTAAAAATGGAGTGGAGAAAAAAAGAGTTTGGCCCAAGTCTTTGGGTTTTGAGGAATCCAAAATATTTGAAAAGTCATCTGGAGGGGTTGGTGGCATTTGGCGGTCCCTAGTGCCAAGAATCACATCCTGTTGGCTTCTGCTGACTTGCTCTTGACCTTGACCGTTTCCACATCCTTCTTCAGCAGGGTGCACTGCGGGAGGTGGAGGGCAGCCCCGTTCTGGACCACACTGGGGAACACCATGCTACAAATTGCACACTTCACCATTGTTTCCTTCCATTTAAAAATCCTGACAAAGGTTTCTCGAGTTGCTTGAAACCCCCGTGTGAGTCAAATAAAAAATGCTCAATAGACAAAACTTTCTGAACCATTCACTGTGGTCCACACAGCAGCTCACATTCTCCAGGCAGACACAACAAGATGGGCTCTTGGAACACACCACGGCTCAGCTTTGCTGTCCAGTTGGTTTCTTCTTCAGGAAAAGGAGCAGTCAACTTTTAAATCAAACCCTGGCCTTTTTTTCTATTTTGTCTTTTTTTCCCCAATTTTGTTATCGAAGGTTCCAAATAAAACTACAGTCAACTAGTGAACTTCTGTGTAACTTATGCAGCAGTATTTTAAATTTTCTTTAGTCAGTTCAGGAAAAGCTGTGCAGATATTGACTCAAGATTAGTGTTGGAAAAACTAGTGTTAACGTGATGGTACAGAAGGCAGAAGAAACACCACAAATCTTTGTGTAAGTGGCCTAAAAGTACTATAGACGGAGATTATAATCTGAATTTTTAAAAGTTTCTGTAACTGAATTCAGCAAGGAAAATGTGTGTGTGTGTATACAAGCAAGTCAACAAATTAACATAGCTTAGTTCTTTACTCTCTGAGAAAATTTTACCTATGAAATCTTATTCACCTGGTCACACATGTTCTACTAATTTCAGTCTATTTCTGAATTACAGGTTTGTTCAACCTGAAATGAAATTCGAAAGGAATTTCTATGCATTGATATCTTTGTTTCTATGCATCAGAGAAAGTGTAGAGACATGAATTAGTTTAATTAGAAGAGTTTAAGACTTTCTTCCAACTGACAATTTTCAAGGAAATACTATGAATTTAGTAAATTCCATGTCAGACCTCCTAGTGACCAAAACTACTAACCGTATTATGGTCAATGAAGTGACACACAGAAATACTTTTTTATGGAAAAGTCATGTAATACTGACTAAGCTGTGATTGTGACATTTATTCATGTACACCAAAAAGATGAAAACAAGAGCAATATAAGACACACTCAGAACACATCTTAGTTCATTTTCTGTTGCTATAACAGAATGTCTGAGAACGGGAATTTTATAAAGAGGACTAGTCTGGCTCGTGGTTCTGGAGATGGGACGTCCAGGAGCCTGGCACCAGCATCTGCTCAGTGCCTGGAGAGGGTCCCCGTGCTGCTTCATAGTCAAGGCAGAGAAGCAGACGGGTAAGAGGGTGCAAGTGGAAGAGAGAGGAGGAGGCCCAAGCCCTGCCGTGCCTAGCCCATTCATGATGGCTCCATCCTCCCTGCTGATCCAAATGCCTTCCACTGAGCACATTCCCAGCACAGCCATGGTGAGAAATTAATGTTCCGATACTCCAACTTTTGAGGGACCCACTCACATCATGCAAAGTATGGCTTAGATTCTCCAATACGCAAGTGCCCCCTGCCACACACACACCCAGGGCGAGTCAGTTCATTCCCTCATCATTCATCCACTCAGCTATCCACTTGACACATGTGTTCACTGCAATGCTTTAAGATGGAAATCCAAAAACATTTTTCTGTATCTCATTTTTTGAGGGGGAGGAGGTCCTGGAGGTTGAACTCAGGGACCCTGGATCACTGAGCCACATCCTCAGCCCTATTTTGTGTTTTATTTAGAGACAGGGTCTCACTCAGTTGCTTAGCACCGCACGGTTGCTGAGGCTGGCTTTGAACTTGCGATCCTCCTGCCTCAGCCTCCCCAGTCGCTGGGATTACAGGCATACGTCACTGTGCCCAGCTGAAAGATTTTTCTTTAAAAGAACAGATGGTAAATATTTTAGGCATGCAGAGTATAAGGGCTCAAGGGCTTGGACACAAATACTCAATTTTTCAATTTTGTGAAAGTAACCACAGACCACACATACTTAGATGACTGGACATGACTGTGTTTCAATAAAACTTTATGAAAACAATTGCAAGTTGTCTGCAGGCTACAGTTTGCAACTCTTATTTTATTTAAATTTTCAGGCTCTGCATAGCACAGACAGTTGTTTAAAACATGTGACTTCTGGTTGACAAATTCAATCTCCTTGAGAGAAGAGGAACAGTTCTGTTTCTTCCAGTTTTTAGAGTGATGGCTGCCTTAACTTTGGTGCTTATATTTTCACTTTTACACTCACTGGAACTTAGAATTTTCAAAGAAACATAAGAATGTTAATATATTCTGGAGTAAGCAAATTGGCAATTTAACCAAAATCTTATTCTATACTCTGAAACTGCTTAGCATATTAATAAAAATCAACAATGACAGAATTCTAATTTAAACAAAATTAAAGTAAGATAATTTTTAAAAATAATGAAAAGATGGCAAATGTCGATAGAGATTACCATGTAAAAGCAAAATAATGCCCTACATTATAAAATTCGGAGCATCAAACTTCCTCTTGGAAAGACAGTTTACAATACCTTGAAGAAGAAATTTTCAATAACTTGACACATACAATGTATCAGCAGACAATGACACTATTTTTGAAGTTCTGATTTTATTTTGTGGGGGGCAGGCATGAGCTACAAAGTGCTCTCATGTCTTTTTCCACATTCCCATCGTAATTTTATGTAAAACCAGCTCCCTCTAGTGATGATAAAGGCATTTTTCATCCAGAAGCCAAAAGGCTTTTCAGACTGTGCAGCAAAATCCCTTTGGAATCGAACCTCAAAATATACACGTGAGGAAATCAACTTTTATTATAAGAGGCAGAGTGTCTAAGAATTCCGGAGTCATTGCCAACAGTCTTTCTGAGTGTGATACCTTTGTAAAACACAGCAATGTGGGGAGTGGCTTTGGTATCCCCTGATAGAACTTGTTCTCTGTGATCATGAAAAAAAAAAAAAAAAAAAGCAAACCCAGGCAATGAACTAACTCTGGTATGTTCACCAGAAATAAGTTTGCAGTGCTTTAAAAAAGCCAGTTAAGAAGTTTGTGGTTTAATGAACAGATATTAATTGGTAATTCTACGAGATGTAAATATCATTTTAATCATCAATTTTAAGCATTTGTCTGCTTCCTTTGATATCTCTGAGGGTGAAGGCTTTGAATGTACATCTTCAGCAATGAAAACCATGAAGCCGATCTTAAAAAGTGGACCCCTGGCTGGAATGCCTGAAGTCAGACTGCCATCTGGCAGTTGGTACCTTTTCCCTGGATGACCTGAGAGTTAATATTTTAGGCTTTGCATGTCATTCACACTCTGTGGGACTGCTCAAGTCTGCTAGGCAGCGTGAGAGCAGACACAGGCAGTACACAATGAACGAGAATGGTTGTGTTCTGTTAAAGGAGAACTTTCAAAAGATGGTAAGCTTGTGACTCCAAGGACATAAAACATGTGTGAAGGATTTTATCCTGTTCAGATGAGGGAACAAGCCAATGCCTGCTCGTGGAAAAAGTCAGAAAGCATCAAGTTATATGAGGTGAAGGAATTGAACTGCAGGTGGAAGCAAGACCTTTTTTTGCACAAAGGAATGGGAAGTCAACAAAACTACACCAAAAAGACAAGTAGAGAGACGATCAGGTAAGGATGCAGAAAAGTGAACAGCTGTATCACGTCACACAACTTAGGAGCTCTTACACCACAGTTCCCCTGGACAGAGCAGAATGCTTTCTTGACGGGTGCACAGGGAGCACTTACCAAGACCATCACACAGCAGGTCATTACAAAACATGACCACGGGGTTGGAAGGATCGAAATCACACAGAGTATGTCCTGTGACCATAATAAAATTAATTTAGAGGACTGGGGCTGTAACTCAGTGGCAGAGCACTTATCTAGCCGTGTGAGGCACTGGGTTTGATCTCCAATACCACATAAAAATAAATAAATAAAGAAAAAAACCTTGTTGAAAAATAAAATTAATTTAAAAATCAGCAAAAATACATCTTAATAGTCTTTGAATACTGGCCACATGTTTATAAATAACACAAGGAAAGTCACAAGGGAAATCAGAGAGTTTTGGTGATGCGAATGTCTCAGGGTGCTAGTTATATGGATGTGTGCTATTTTTTATTGTTGTTGTTTGGGGGTTTGTTGGCACTGCAGATTGAACCCAGGGTGCTCTACCACTGAGCTGCATCCCTAACCCTCTTTATTTTGAATTTAAATATTTTGAATATTTAGACAGGGTCTTGCTATATTGCCCAGGCTAACCTCTAAAGTATGATCCTCTACCTCAGCCTCCTGAGTTGCTGGGATTGCGGGTGCCCCACTGGGCCTGGCTAGATGTATATACATACACTTGGAGACACTGCATAGTACGAATTTCTAAATCTAATTTATACTTCACAAAGTTGATTTTTAAAAAATGCTGATGGAGGGAGACAGACAAAATTTATATAGCTTTTACTCATGTAAAAGGTTTTCAATTTGGCATGTAAGATGAAAATATGGTATACTTAAAATAGAAGTATATTATAATTATAATATGTACTTTTTTATATTTGTCAACTTTTATAAAAATAGAAAAGAAAATAGGGCAGTGACCAGGTGCGATGGCACAAATCTATAATCCAAGCCACTTGAGAGGCTGAGGCAGAAGGATCACAAGTTCAAGGCCAACCTGAGCAACTTAGTAAGACACTATCTCAAAATAAAAAAAAAATAAAAGGGATTGGGAGTGTTGCTCGGTGGTAGAGCATCC